GGATAGTGATGATAATGAAGATGCTGATGATGCTGGTGATGATAATGAAGATGAATACGAGGATGATGGTGATGATGATGATCGTGATGATGATGCACGTGGTGATGACGATTATGATGATGATGCTGATGATGCTGACGCTTATGATGATGCTGCTGCTGATGATGACGATTCTGATGATGCTGATGATGATGGTGATGATGATGATCTTGATGCTGCTGCTGATGATGCTGCTGCTGACGATGATGATGATGATGATGCTGATGCTGCTGCTGCTGATGATGCTGATGGTCATGATGATGATTATAATGATAATGATGATGATGATGATGATGATGATGATGATGATGATGATGATGATGATGGTGGCGATGATGATGATGATGATGATGATGATGATGATGATGATGATGATGATGATGATGATGATGATGTTGATGATGATGCTGATGATGATGATGACGTTGATGATGGTGATGCTGATGATGATGATGATGATGATGATGATGATGATGAGGATGATGATGATGATGATGATGATGATGATGATGATGAGGCTGATGATGTTGATGATGATGATAATGATGATGATGATGATGATGACGATGATGATGATGATGATGATGATGATGATGATGATGATGATGATTAGTAGGATTAATATTATTTATTATTATTATCTCTATTATTATTAGTACTATTTTCATTATTATTATTCGTATTATTAGTAGTAGTAGTAGTAGTAGTAGTAGTAGTAGTAGTAGGTAGTAGGTAGTAGTAGTAGTAGTAGTAGTAGTAGTAGTAGTAGTAGTGGTAGTAGTAGTAGTAGTAGTAGTTGTAGTAGTAGTAGTCGTAGTCGTAGTCGTAGTCGTAGTCGTAGTAGTAGTAGTAGTAGTAGTAGTAGTAGTAGTAGTAGTAGCAGTAGTAGTAGTAGTAGTAGTAGTAGTAGTAGTAGTAGTAGTAGTAGTAGTAGCAGTAGTAGCAGTAGTAGTAGTAGTAGTAGTAGTAGTAGTAGTAGTAGTAGTAGTAGTAGTAGTAGTAGTAGTAGTAGTAGTAGTAGTAGTAGTAGTAGTAGTAGTAGTAGTAGTAGTAGTCGTAGTAGTAGTAGTAGTAGTAGTAGTAGTAGTAGTAGTAGTAGTAGTAGAGGAGGAGGAGGAGGAGGAGGAGGAGGAGGAGGCGATGCGATGTGATGCGACGCGGCCACCGTTGCGGACAGCGTCCTGGCCTAGCTCAGATCAATTTGGTTAGGCCGTGGCCTCGAGAGTCTAGCTAGGGGAGGAGGAAGAAACATAAGAAGAGTAAGTCCTTAGTGTCGTTGTCGGCGCGGGCTGTGTGTGTCGTCTCGACTTTCTCTGGGCGTTCTGTTTATGGGTCTTGGTTCTGGGTGTTTGCTGGTGTGAGGTCGGGGTAGTGATGCTCGAGCACTGCCCATGTTTCGGTACCTTTGGCTGCTTGTGTCTATGTGATGTCGATTAGTTGTCCTCTTGATTTGGCCTGAGGTGGAGGAGAAGGAGGCACAGGATGATCAAGCTGTGCTGGTCCTTTTCCCACTGTGAAGCTGCGCGTTGGACGTCTCGTCTCTCCGTTTACCCCCGTCTAGACTTATCTTCTTGTGCGATCAACGAACGACCGCATAGTGTGAGTGCCAGAGTGCGACCAACCTTGCTGTGCTGGCCACTTAGAATGCGCGACCGACAGGGCGAGGTGATGTATCTCCCTTGGTCCCCTGCGCCTGGCTCGGGAGGCGGAGGCAGAGGCGGGGGCATGGGCGGCGGCGGATTGGACGCAGAAGGAGGGTGTAGGAGGGGGAGGAGGAGGAGGAGGGGCGAGATGGAGGAGGAGGGGGAGGAGGGTGTAGTAGGGGGAGGGTGTAGGAGGGGGAGGGTGTAAGAGGGGGAGGAGGAAGAGGAGGGGGGAAGGTGAGGACGAGGAGGAGCTTTCTAAGCAGCTCGGAGCCTAATGATGATGATGCTGCTGACGACAATGATGACGATGAGGATGGTGATGGTGGTGATGATGATAATGCTGATCGTGATGGTGGTGATGCTGATGATGCTGCTCATGCCTATGATGATGACGATGATGCTGGCGATGATGACGATGAAAGGGATGATTAGAAGGACACTATTGCTGCTGATGGCGATGACGACGACGATGATGTTGATGACACGGATGATGATGATGATGATGATGATGATGATGATGATGCTGATGATGATGATGATGAGTTTGATGATGATGCTGATGGTGATGATGGTGACGACGATGATTGTGATGGTAATGATGATGATGAGGATGATGATGATGATGATGATGAATGTGATGATGATTATGATGATGATGTTGCTGACGCTGATACTGATGATGATGATGATTGTGACACTGACTGTGATGCTGTTGATGGTGATGCTATATTTGATGGTAAGTCTTATGATGATGGGGAGGATCAGGATGATGCTGCTGCTGATGATGATGACGACGATGGCAATGACGATGACGATGACGATGACGATGACGACGACGACGAGAAGGAGGAGGAGGAGAAGGAGGATGATGATGATGACGATGATGACGATGCTGATGATTATGATGATGATGATGCTGATGAGAATGCTGCTGTTGCTGCTGCTGCTGATGATGATGACGATGACGATGACGACGACGACGACGACTAGTATTAGGATGACGATGAGGCTGTTGCTGCTACTGATGATGATGCTGATGACAATGATGATGATTGCGATGATGATGATGATAGCAATGATGATTATGATGATGATGCTGTTGCTGCTGCTGCTGATGATGATGATGATGCAAATGGCAATGATGATTATGCTGATGGTGATGATGATTATGCTGATGGTGATGATGATGATACTGACGATGATGATGACGATGACGATGACGATGACGATGACGATGGCGACTATTAGTATGATGATGATGCTGTTGCTGCTACTGATGATGATGGCAATACTGATGATGATGATGATGATGATGATGATGATGATGCTGATGATGATGATGATGATGATGATGATGATGATGATGCTGATGATGCTGATGATGATGATGATGATGATGGTGATGATGATGATGACGGTGATTCTGTTGATGGTGGTGATGATAATGCTTGTAACGATGCTGATGCTAATGATGATGTTGATGACGATGGTAATGCTGATGGTGATGACGATGACGATGACGATGACGATGGCGACTAATATTTCTATGATGATTCTGATGATGCTGTTGTTTGCTACTGGTGATGATGATGCTGATGGCAATGCTGATGACGATGATTATGATGATGCTGAAGGCAGTGCTGATGGCAATGATGATGATGATGATGATGATGATGATGATGATGATGATAATGAAGATGATATTGTTGCTGCTGCTGATCGTGATGATGGCAGGGCAATGATGATGATTATGCTGATGGTGATGATGATGATGATGCTGTTGCTGCTACTGATGATGATGCTGATGGCAACGCTGATCATGATGCTGATGGTGATGACAATGATGATGATCACGATGGTGATGATGATGATGCTTATGCGGATACTGATGCTGATGACGATGATGATGATGACGATGACGATGACGACGACGACTAGTATTATGATGATGATGCTGTTGCTGCTACTGATGATGATGATGATGATGATGATGATGATGATCATGCTGATGGCAATGATGATGATGATGATGATGATGATGATGATGATGATGCTGATGTTAGTGATGGTGATGATGCTGTTGCTGCTGATGATGGTGCTCATGGCAGTGGAGATGTTGATGCTGATGAGGATGATGATGATGCTGTTGCTGCTTCTACTGGTAATGATGATTCTGATGGAACTGATGATGATGCTGATTATTTTGATGATTTCGATACTGGTGATGATGATGATGATGATGATGATGATGATGATGATTCTGTTGCTGCTACTGATGATGATCATGCTGATGGCAATGATGATGCTGCTGCTGATGATGCTGATGATGATAATGACGATGATGATGATGGTGATGATGAAGACGATGACGATGACGACTACTATTGTGATGATCATAATGCTGTTGCTGCTTCTGATGATTATGCTGACTGCAAAGATGATGATGCTGATGGTTATGATGATGCTGATTATGATGATGATTATGATGCTGTTGCTGCTACTGATTATGATGATGCTGATGGCAATGATGATGTTGCTGATGACTAAGCAGATGGTGATGGTGATACTGATGATGATGATGCTGATGGCAATGATGATGATGCTTATGATGATGATGATGATGATGATGATGATGCTGATGATGCTGATGATGATGATGATGCCTCTGCTGATGATGATGCTGATGATGATGACGATGATGATGATGATGATGATGATGATGACGCTGATGCTGCTTATGATAATGATGATGATGCTGATGATTGATGATTGATGATTGATGATTGATGATTGATGGTTGATGATTGATGATTGATGATGATGATGATGATGATGATGATGATGATGATGATGATGATGATGATGATGATGATGATGATGATGATGATGATGATGATGATGATGATGATGCTGATGCTGATGATGATGATGATGATGATGATGATGATGATGATGATGATGATGATGATGATGATGATGATGATGATGATGCCGGTCTCCTTTGGGACGGATTCGGCGCACGGCCTCGCAAGCTGGCTAGGGCCAATGTCGGTGGTGCTGGGAAGCAGGGCATTTTCCCGTTGATTGAAAGTTCTTTTCCAGCCTGACACCCCTGGAAAAATCATAGAGTCCAGCATGTTCACAACAAAGTTGGGAGGCGGATAAAGTGGCAGGGAGGAGGGACGGGAGGAGGGGGTTGTGGGTGGGATAGGGGCAGTAGGACACAGGATGGGGTAAGAGGAAGTGGGATGAGGCACGGGGAGTACACGTTGCAGGAGGCATGGGGGGTTTAGGAGGCAAAGGCGGCCGCTGGAGGCGATATGGCTGGCAAGATGGGCATGGACTCCACCCAGGCCATGATGGCTGGCGTCGTGGGCCAAGCAGGAAGAGGGGGGGGTAGAAGCAGGGGGCGAGCTTCGGGATTTACAGTCGCTTGGACGTTTTTGTCGTTTCCCTAATAGCATCTCGCTAGAAGGTTCTCATAGGTATCAAAGATCCTACAGGCTTATGCCACATCCGCTGCCCCCACTCAGTGTAGATTGTTTCCTATAGTTATTGGGGGCGTCCAGGGTGATGGTGATATAAACGAAAGCGAGAGGATGACGTGGGAGAAGAGGGATAATGAGGAGGAGGAGGAAGAGGAGGAGGAGGAGGACCAGTGTAAACGCACGACTCATCAAAGATGTCGAAATACACCTCCCTCCATGATCCCCCTCACAGGCCCCTACAAGGGGTCATTTCCACCGAGGGAATGGCCACGTTGGGGGGCAATCGTGTGAACATCTTGAGGCGTGCCGGAATAGTATTCTCACGACTTCAATGCCACGAGTGAACCTGACTGTTACGTCTTGATGACCCTGATCCATGCCAGAATACCATGTCTGGGGTTTCAACACCGCGAATCAAAGTAAATGTTGCGCCCTGGCAGCCCCGAATCGTTCCGAAACGCCATTCCTGGAACAGTAACCATGAGAACCAGTACCATTCTTTCACATTTGTATGACCAGTCTGCGCGGCGCTATGGCGAGAGCCACCCTTTGGAAAAGGACCCGTCCTCCACCTGTGGAACAATTGCAGATCTTAAGCTTCAGAAGCATAAGTGGTGAGGACGTCTCAGGCGACACGCCCAGCCCGCCCTTCCGACACGTCAGAGGGGCGCGACGTGGGTGGGGAGTCGTTCATAAAAGGAGAGGGAGGGAGGAGAAGGAACATGATGATGACGATGACGACGGTGACGGTTCCGATGCCGATGATGATCATGATGATGATGATGTTGCTGCTGCTGATGCTGATGCTGCTGCCGATGATGATGATGATGATGATGATGATGATGATGATGCTGCTGATGCCGATGATGATGATGACGATGATGATGATGATGCTGATGATGATAATGATGATGATGATGATGATGATGATGATGATGATGATGATGCAGATGATGATGATGATGATGATGATGATGATGATGATGATGATGATGATGATGATGCTGATGCTGATGCTGATGCTGATGATGATGATGATGATGATGATGATGATGGTGTTGCTGACGATGAGGATGATGATGACGACGGCGACAGCGACGACGATTTTGACCATCTTGCGCGCATGTGATCTAACATTTGCTTTGGCATTCATTCGTTTCTCCCTGTCCCTTGTACCCGCCCAATAATTCTAAGAACCAGCCCCCTTCCAGTGGAAATTCTTTTCATACCGGCTGCTGGAAAAGTCCTCAATCTGTGAAACTCTTATAACTTTTTAGACCGAATGTGCGCGGCGCTACAGGGAGGGCCACTATTTGAAAACGACCCGCCCTCAATCAGTGAAACATTCTGCACATTCGTACAAAGAATATGCGCGGCGCTAAGGCGAGAACCAAATTTTGAGAACAACCCGCCCTCCATCCTTGAAGCGGTTGGAAGCTGTCAAGATGCATGTGTACGGAGCTAAAGCGAGAGCCGCATTTTGAAAAGGAATCGCTTCATCAGTGAAACTCTAACACTTTGTTAGAACGGTTGTGCGCGGCGCTACGGCGAGAGAAACATTTTTGAAAACGACCCGCCCTCAATCTGTGAAGCTCCTGGGGAATGTTTAGCATGAATGTGTGCGGCGCTAAGGCGAGAGCCACATTTTGAAAACGCACCGCCCTTAATCCGTGAAGCTCTTGCAAATTTTACAAGCGAGTGTGCGCAGCGCTACGGTGAGAGCCACACTTTGAAAACGACCCGCCCTCAATCCGTGAAACTCCTGCAATTTTTTGAAACGAATGTGCGCGGCGCCAAGGCGAGAGCCACATCTTGAAAGGGAGTTGCCCCCAATCTGCGAAACGCTTACAACTTTTGGGACGAGTATGCGCGGCGCTAATGCGAAAGCCACACTTTGAAAACGACCCGTCTTCATCCCGTGAAACATCTATTACATTAAAAAAAAAACGGATGTACGCGGCGAGGGCCACATTTGGAATTTTGGAAACGGCCTGCCCTCCATATGTGAAGCTGCTGCCAAGTGTAAAGCGCGGAAGTCTCAGGCCAAACGCCCGGCCCGCCCTTTCGACCGGCCTCGGGGTGCGACAGGGAGGAATCATCTGTAAGGAAAACGAATGGAGGAGGAGGAGGAGGAGGAGGAGGAGGAGGAGGAGGAGGAGGAGGAGGAGGAGTAGGAGGAGGAGGAGGAGGAGAAGGAAGAGGAGGGAGGGAGGGGGGAGGAGGAGGAGGAGGAGGAGGAGGAGGAGGAGGAGGAGGAGAGGAGGAGGAGGAGGGGAGGAGGAGGGAGGAGGAGGAGGAGGAGGAGGAGGAGGAGGAGGAAGAGGAGGAGGAGGAGGAGGAGGAGGAAGAGGAGGAGGAGGAGGAGGAGGAGGAGGAGGAGGAGGAGTTGGAGGAGGGGGAGGAAAAGGAGGACCAGAGTAAACCCACGAGCCATCAACGATGTTGGAATACACCCTCCCTCCAGGCTCCTACAACGGTTCATTTCCATTGAGGGAACAGCCTCGTTGGGAGGCAACCGTTTGGAGACCCTGAAGCATGCCAAAACATTGCTCTCGGGATTCCAACGCCGCGGATCAACCTGATTGTTGCGTCATGACGCTCTCGGATCGTGCCAGAACGCTTTTCTTGGGATTTCAACACCGCGAATCAACGTAACTGTTGCGCCTGCAAAATCAGAATCCTTCCAAAACGCCGTTTCTGGTACGTTGATCACGAGCATCCGTGAAATTCTTCCAAGTTTTTACGAGCGAATGTGCGCGGCGCGAAGGCGAGAGCGCCACATTCTGAAAAGGAACCGCCCTCAATCCGTAAATCATTTGCAATTTTTTAAAACGAATGTGCGCGGCGTTAAGGCGAGAGCCACATTTTGAAATCGGGTGTTCTTCAATGCGTGATGCTCTTGCAATTTGTTAGAACGAATGAGCGCGGCGCCGAGGCGAGAGCCACATTTTGGAAACGGGTGGTCCTCAATCCGTGAAGGTCTTGCAGTTTGTTAGGACGAATGTGCGCGGCGCTAGGGCGGCAGCCACATTTTGAAAATCACCCGCTCTCCATCCGTTAAACTGTTGCCACTTTTAAGTCTCCTGTGAAACGCCCGGCCCGCCCTAAGCACTGGCCTGCGACAGGGAGAAGTTATTGATCAGGACAAAGGACTGGAGGAGGAGGAGGAGGAGGAGGAGGTGGAGGAACTATTTGGAACTATTTGATCGCGGACCCCAGTCCGTCAGTCCGCTGGTTCGTCGGACTTGCTGAAACTTCTCAAGAGTCGTCAGGGTGACTTGCAGCACGCTGTGAAAACCACCTCTGACCCCTCTGTCTGCTGCTGCGGCGGACTGGCTGCTGGTGGGATACACTTGAGCCCGACGCCTCTGAAACTCCGCCCCCCTGGACCACCCGCTCCTCAAAACGGGGGCCACTCGCCGCCCTCAATGAGCGCTGGGCTATGGCCTGCACCCGCCGATCCTCGACCTCCTGGCGCAGAGCCTGTCTCCCTCGCCAGCCCTTGCCGGCGCCGGTGACCACATGGGGGCTCGGCGGGGGGGCCGCCTGGCTGGCCACTGCTCTCTCCTCCGTTCCCGTCCGACGACTCCAGACGACGGCCTCCCCGGGCAGCCATGGCCAGACCGATGGCCCTCCCCCTCCCCCTCCCCCTCCTCCTCCGCCTCCCCCTGCCCCTCCCCCTCCCCCTCCTCCTCCTCCTCCTCCTCCTCCTCCTCCTCCTCCTCCTCCTCTCCTCCTCCTCCTCCTCCTCCTCCTCCTCCTCCTCCTCCTCCTCCTCCTCCTCCTGGGTGGCCCCTCCCGCCGAGGAAGCGAATTCTGCTGGATGCGCCGCGGGTTCTCGACTCCGTTCGGAGTGAGCCCGGGGCAGCTCCTCCTGAGGAAGCGTGCATCGACGGTAGCATGCATGCCGCAGGCCGTGCAACTGTGCAGAGACCACTGCGCGACCAGCGTGGTCGAGCGCGACGGGTGGATTTCCAGTGGGGCCCCCGAAGCCGAAACAAGTTCCCTCGGTCCCTGGGATCTGGCACCTGGGGGGCCCTCGCAAGGGGTGGCCGCGAACAGAAAAGAACTTGGAACTCGGGACCACCATCTCACACTTAGAGCACCACCATTTGCGTTCAGTTCTGCCGAGTTGGTGAGAGGAGTCCCTGACCGTACGCTCTAGCTTAGACAACTTCTTCACAGGGGGTTGGGCGGCTGGATCGTTCTCCCGTCTCAGACGAGGCGGCCAACGTCAGCGCCCTACGTGCTCTCTTGCGCACCATTAGCGCAATGGAATCGATCCGATCCGTGTCAGGCGCCGTACCCACCAACCCCTCCTCCACGCCAGCTCCTCCCCAACTCCCGCCCGCGTATCAGCGACGAGGTTCCCTGCCGCAAGGAACAGCTGCTCGGGTGAGTTGAGGTCTTCTGGCCTCTCATCCAAGTGGGAAGGGGTCCAGATGACCTCTTATCTCCTTGCACAGGCGGTTGCTCCAGGCGTCTCTGGCGCGTGCCCAAAGGTCCTCATTGGATCCCGTGGCCCTGGCGTACTCCAAACGTGCTCTCCAGGTTCTCGCGACCGTGCGATAGTCGGTGACAAACGCAACACTTGAGCGAAGTTGCTCGAGCGCGAGCACAAACTATATAATCTCAGCTCTAGGTGCAGTTTGCCTGGGGCCAAGGGGAGGGGCGGCTGGGGCAGCGCCCGCTCAGGGTCTCCTTTGCTTCTCTGCGTCTGTGGCACATCCTGCTGGGTATCAGGTATCCGCCGTCCGCTGCCCTGGTCTTGTTCCACTGCCCGCCTGCCACCGCAGCCATATTTAGTCCGATCTTATCCAGCGGACCTTTCTCCTCGAAGCGTTTGTGCTCAGCTCGGATCTGCAAAACGTCAGCTCCAC